TCGCCACTTTGAAAAACGATGCCTACACTCCATTGCAAAAATAGCGCGCTTTAAGTGCCCCAATTCCATCCAAATGGAACGGTTTCCATCCATAATTTTTTTTTAAAACTCTCAAGTTCATGGCCCACAGTATGCTCAATTACTAAAGATATCGAGGGCATGCAAATCGTGATTTGGACGGCGTAGGCAATTTCGGACCGATTTACTGAAATGCACCCATTATATACGCAGGGGCGGCGGAACCGGGGGGGGGGTAGTTGCCCCTCCCCCGATTTGGCCAAGTGCCCCTTTTGCGGCCATAAATGTGCCCCCTCGAGCATGAAAGTGTCCCTCAGATGAAAAAAGTAATGGCCCTAAAATTATCTGACTTTTTCTTGTAAGTAACCATTTCCCGAACATGGTATAGATAGTTTTGCTAAAAACGAGGGATATGAAAACCAAGCCCCAAGATCCATGCAATACGCCCTGAAAATGGGCATGCACATAATGCATAGTTGGCATATAATCATCGGTTTTCAAGAGTGCCCCCTATGTCGGAAGATGGTACCAGCCGTTTGATTTTACGGAGGCCTAATGTCCGGTGAAAAGCACGTGTCGACCTTTCAACACGGATGTGCAAACAAAAAAATCCTGAGCATAAGTGCCCCTTTTTGGTGATGCCCCCCCCCCCCCGTTTCAAACCCGTTCCGCCGCCGCTGTATATACGGCTCTGCTTCTGATTTTCTCCAAACACCCTTCATCAATGGACTACCCCTGTCAACATACCGCCCCCTATCGTTTACTAACCCCTTTGACTATGTAGCAGCAGAATTACAACCGCAATAACTGGAACCATGACTCGCACCTCATGGCTGATTTTCAGGTGCTATATAATACAGTCTTGTACAAAATTAAGAGACGTTTTGGTGCTAATTTTTATCCAAGGCATAACACTACCTTAAGAAGCAACCGATTTGCTGTGTCATTTCGTCTCACCCTGCTACCGAAATAGTTATTCGCTGTTTTCATTCTGAATTAATCAAAAATGAGCATATAGGCCTAGGGCTTCAAGTCTTCTCGCTTTCATTTTTCCTGTGAACAATCGTGCGGTGGTGCCATTTTCCCGTTACTTCTGGGGGCACGAGGTACACACGTCAGGGAGACACTGAAGGCATATGGTGCATATGTTTGTTCAATTCAACACGAATTTTAATTATGGATCCCTTTGTTTGTGCCCTAACCCTTTTGTCTTTAGTCCACGATTGCACACAAGTATGTATTTGCCTGCAATCGGGTACCCCTATTGTCCCTCTTTTGTTTGTACTTTTTAGGAAAACCTCCAATATGCTCTGTACACGAATCCAACTTTTGGGGACTTCTCGGGAAGTTGGGACCCTACTGTCCTCTATTGTTCAACGTCCCCTGTGGAATGGAGAAAACCTATGCACACAAATTATCTTTCTGCTGCCAAAAACATTTGGGATTTATCTCTTCTTCTTTTTTAGAAAAGATTCACACTTCTATAAAAAAAAAAGGAAAAAAATGTGAGTCCCAACCAAATCCTGGGTGCGCCACTTCTCCCGATGGGACCCCCCCATTGATACCAAATATTGAATCCTGCATACAAGTCTGGCACCTTGACTGTCCCCAACTCCTTCAGGCAATATGGCTCATTATGCTATGCACAGCGGCTGGGAAGGCAGGACTAACTTATGAAAGGACATGTGAATTACTTTTTTTATCTGTACGTTTAGTGGACTTCACTAAGCCACTGTGTAAGTGAGGTGTTTTTTTTAACTTAAAGTTGACAGGTGGTTGAGTTTAGTTTTGATTCCGACAGCAAATACGAAAACTATAGAAATATACGGACAGAAATGTGCCAACATTTTAAAACTCACTTCGAAAGAAGATGAGGAGATGTGTATTTATCGAGAAGCCCTTTTTTGAGACAGATGCCTGGACTTTATCTATAATGTAAATTATGGATACAAATTTCACTTGTTGCCGTCTTGCTTGTGCGTGTGGACACACATGGATAATCTTACTTAAGTACCAGATGTGTATTGAATGGAGTAAAAACTATTGTTGTTTAATCATTTTCTCATTCTGTTCAGTGTTTGTTTTCGAAATGCGACTCTTTCTGGAGGACACAGATGATGCATTTACCTCACGTCCAACCTTCGCTTGTCGATTTAACGTATTCCGACAGAAATATTGAAAACTCTGATATAAAAACAGAAATATTTAAAATTCTGCTAACTTAAAATACTCAAAACAATATTATTCGGACGGTTTTTAAAAGCTTATTATAACAAACTTAACTATCGGAAGAAGAGATGGGTTGTACATCGAAGTTCGCCAAATAAATTTACCTGCTCAGTGTATTCCTTTTTTAGTGAAAAAATCTTGAACCCCCAAATTGAATTGTTTTTCTGATAGCTTGCAGCCAGTACCAGGGGAAAATTGTAACTTGAATTTTTCCCCCGATACATATTTGAAGATCTAGCATTTCAACTAGATTTCAGATCTAGCTATTGTTCAACGTCCCCTATGGAATGGAGAAACATACCTACGCACACAAATTATCTATCTGCTGCCAAAAACATTTGGGATTTTTTTTTTTTAGAAAGATTCACACTAAAAAAAATGGAGAAAAAGAATGTGAGCCCCAACCAAATCCTGGGTGCGCCACTTATTCCGATGGGACCCCCAATTGATACCAAATATTGAATCCTGCATACAAGTCTGGCACCTTGACTGTCCCCAACTCTTTCAGGCAATATGGCTCATTATGCTGTGCACAGGGGCTGGGAAGGCAGCCTGAGGGAACATTAAGACACAAGACTAACTTATGAAAGAACATGTGAATTACTTTTTTATCTGTACGTTTGGTGGACTTAGCTAAGCCACTGTGCAAGTGAGGTGGGTTTTTTCTTAAACTAACAGTTGACACGTGGTTGAGTTTAGTTTTGATTCCGACAGCAAATACGAAAACTATAGAAATATACTGACAGAAATGTGCCAACATTTTAAAACTCACCTCGAAAGAAGATGAGGAGATGTGTATTTATTGAGAAGCCCTTTTTGAGACAGATGCCTGGACTTATCTATAATGTAAATTATGGATACAAATTTCACTTTGCCTGTGCGTGTAGACACACATGGATATTCTTACTTAAGTACCAGATGTGTATTGAATGGAGTAAAAACTAATTGTTGTTTAATTATTTTCCCATTCTGTTAAGTGTTTGTTTTCGAAATGCGACTCTTTCTGGAGGACACAGATGATGCATTTACCTCACGTCCGACCTTCGCTTGTCGATTTAACGTATTCCGACAGAAATATTGAAAACTCTGCTATTACAACAGAAATATTTAAAATTCTGCTAACTTAAAATACTCAAAACAATACTGTTCGGACGGTTTTTAAAAGCTTATAATAACAAACTTAACTATTGGGAGAAGAGATGGGTTGTACATCGAAGTTTGCCGAATAAATTCACCTGCTCAGTGTATTCCTTGTTTAGTGAAAAAATCTTGAACCCCTAAATGGAATTTTATTTCTGATAGCTAGCAGCCAGTACCAGGAGAAAATTGTAACTTGAATTTTTGTTGAATACAAAATATTGTTTGAAAGAAATGTGTTTGTTTCAATGAAAAAGGAAAGGAAAACTCGGATAGACAGCTCCAAGATGGAGAGCCTGGTTGCCAAGGCAGATTCTGTAAGTTTTTCGAGGACACAGGCTGGTTCCCGCCGCATCTACTATTGTGCACGTCCGACTGGGCGGAACGTGCGTGCTAATTTGTTCAACAGGTCACTTTCAGACAGATAGTGAGGAGGCATATAGATGTGCGTGACAGTAATTCAATGCGATAGAAGCAACAGCTGAAAATTAGTTTTATTTTCAATAAAAACAAGGAAAATTAGATAGGGGGAATTTAGTATCTAGAAAAATAATTATTTATCCCATTTCTTCATTCCGTGATCACGTTTTATCCTATTCTATCTGTAAATAAAGTTGATCTTATTATAGGCCTTCTTATACGCCCTTGGTTAAAATAAGTATTGTTTCTTACTGCATAAAAGTTGCGATATTCTTGTTCATTAAAAAGCTGATGCAAAGTTTACTCATAGAATCCATTTCGAATTATTTCAATAGATTTTGAAAACAATATTTTGTTGTTTAAAACAAATTCATATTTTCAAATCATTAATTTGGTTAATTTCAACGCACAATTTCACCTGTTAATTTCTAAGCATTAGACTTTAATTAATCAATTAATAATCCCCCTCAAGTTTCAGTCCATGCGCCTTAATTTCGTCTGTGGGTTTTGTTTTGCTTTTCATTAGGCCCATTTTTAGCCATCCATATGGAATACATTGAATTCTGACTGATTAATATGACAATACAGGTGTCTTTGCCAGCCAATCCGGATGATGTGTCCGTTCGCTGTGAAATTTTGCCATCAAATAGCCAAGATGAAATTGACATTTGAAGGTTTGCACGGTGGAAAGATACTAAGACAAAATAAGTTTGTGGTAGCACCATGTGAATACATCTCTTTTGTGAGTGTGTGTGGTTCTAAAAAGAACCGGAGGAACTAGTATGCTCTGCCCGTCGTCAGGAGAATGAGGGATTCTAACGATGATACAAGATGAAATTGTCAAGAAACCCAAATTGACATCCCCAAACCACCACCTCATGAGGCCTGAGAATATCAAATGCACATCAGAAAAACGTTTGTTCACTTTCATTTATTTCTAAACAACTGTTCATTGCTCAGTGAATTGTTTCTGCAACACCACAAATTAAACGCACACACAAATCCATTGTAGGACTAGGCCTTGCCAAATACCGGTTTTAACCCGAAATGTCCAACAAACCCATGACAAATGAACGGAGCGTGCTGTTATTGGTTTGGTTGCATCACGTGGTCACGACGTCACGACATCTGCATAATCAATCAGCACGGGGAGATGTTATTTAAGGTCTACCTCGAGGCTGGTTCCACTCACATCGCTGGAATTCATCGAACGATAATCAGCTAGTTATCTACCATACAGTGCTGACTTGAAGAAAACCACCCTCTGAACGACATGTCTGCTTTTACCTGGCTCTGTGTGTTTCTGTTGGTTGGGTTGCTGAACACGCCCATCGAAGGCCATAGGCCTCCAAGCTCTAGCGTGGAGGCAGAAGGTTTGTAACAGCCTTAAAGGAGTGTTGTTCTATGTTTTCCCCACTGGACATTACTTTGACGTTTCTGCCCAGTCAAATTCTATGACAAAAAGTTTAACCGATATTGATCGCTGCCCAGTGGGTCTACACAGAAGTGTTGTGTAAAAAAAAAAGTTTCATTTATATTTAGGGCAAATGCGGAAATAGGAAAAATTGGGAAATATCACCGAGAAATAATATTAATGAAAGCTGTATATTGGACTAACACACACACAAATAAGTATTAGGCGCTAGTAGAACATAGTTTCGCACATATTGGTTGATGATACTAAGACCAAAATAACCAAAATAATTACTTTGTTTTGTTTGCTTTCTTGAAGATGGCAAAGAGGAGAACCGTGGCATAGCAGATCACCGTGGTAATACGACAATTGCATGTGTTATCTTTCCAAAAGTCTGCGAATCCTGACACAATGGCGGATCCGGGATTTTTCCAAAAGGGGGTTGGCTGAGTTGTTGACGTCCAAGATTTGCTAATTGGGGATAGGCATAGGGTGCATGTGATGTTGCAGTCAACGCATAAAAGACCCAACCTGAACGCTAGCAAAGAATTAAGATTTGTGAAACTTAGCGATAACATTGGTAGCTGAAGGAAATTTGTGAATGTTTTCATCATGATGTAAAGAATAAACATCGGTTAATTGGAAGGGGGCTGGTTAATCATCCCAATCAACCCTTGGATCCGCCATTAGACAGGCTTTAATAATTCAGTATAGGCCTATGGTAACGTAAAGGTAAAGTGTCTATAATGGCGTGTTAACGGTTAATAGCTTTTAGCTACGGCCCGTTTCATTGAATATTATCCTCCTCATATAGATCCATTACTTTCTATATGTTTGTCACATTCAGGTGACATTAAAGGTAACGTATATCATTTACAAACATTAAAACAAAGGGAACTGCCAAAATAATTATGAAATGTGCTACTTGACTGTTTATATCAAGCATCGTGTGAAATCGTGGCGCCTGTTTTGCTGTCATTTTCAATAAAATAGGAATTACCATCGTTTCCCAGACGATGGTTGGACCGGATATGTCGCTGGAATATTTTTGTTTTGTTTTCAAATACTGCACCAAATTGACCAAAATTTGTTTAGCTTTCAATCGGTTACACATAGGTATTTCCCCGAGTGACAACTGGGATCATACCACAAAGGGTGCTTTTCACGGTTGTCTCAAAAGTAGAACTTTATAATTAGTAATCCGCTTCAGATTTACTGTATTACCGTTCTTTGTTTCGGCAACCAAAAAAACAATCCCAAAATTTACTCATGTAAATTGCCTTTAAATCGTACATAGCTTCATCTCCTGTACCTTCACAGAGCCATAGCGCAAGCAAGTCACCTCAGGAGAATTTGCCAGCGTCATGGTTTTCTGTTAAACAATGGCTTACGCTTATCTCCTAAAATAAAACCATACGGAATATTTTGCGAGGCGGTGCCACAATCTTCACAGAGTTTAGTTAGTTCAGCTGACTAGTCATGTCCATTTGTTAGACCTTATAGCATGCACCAGTATAATGTTTAATGACTGTACATTGAAATCACTACATGTAGTTGCAATTTTGATAAGGAAAGTCTACATCTGCGAACAGCTAGTACTTTCATTTGGTTTTAATCGTTGTTCCTTGACAGCGGTTGGTGAAATTGTTTACGATGGAAACCTACTTCAGCAATGTGTAACGGACAAGGATATGGATTGCATCTTGAGTTACTACGCCCCTGATGTGATCGTAGTACCGGATGGCTACCCATCATACCAAGGAATTGACCGTAAGACCATCAGTTTCTAGTTATAGATGAAAAGAAATTTTCATGAAAGGAAACAGTCTGACATGTTGCAAATTTAGACTTATAGTGACAGATTCGAATGTGATTTATTTAATATAAAAAAATAATTCTCATCCATCCTTATGAAAATGAAGTTTCCAGTTTTCACATTTTCACATTTTCGTCTGTTCAAGACCATTAAGCCCTACGTCGGTTGTTCAATGCCCGACAGCTGATTTTGACCAAGAGTCAGACATAATGAAACAAACGAACGTAATCGTCATGAACATTTATGTACCGGTTCTCAAAACTTCTCTGTGCACGTTTAATCACAGCTAGAAATTAGTCCATAAATATTATCCAAAAAGATGAAACTTTCCGAATCATGAAAATTGGTCCGAGCACAATAGTCGTCCATAAAGCTCTCAAAACGTTTCCTTGGTATATGAGTGATGTCGGTATATGAAAGCCTGTGGAATATTGGATCTGAAGTAGCAATTAAAAGAGTAGTTGAAATCACCTGTTTTGTATCAATGTTTTCCAGATTTGTCGAAAAACCTTGGATGGATTCAGCATGTTACTGTGACCAAACATGATGCTGAGCACATTGAACCATTGGACGCAAGCGGGGATCTCGTGCTTGAAGTGCATGCTCACGACACTGTACTACCGGATGGAAGCCACAAGAAGGGAAAGTAAGTCAAAATGAAGTAATACCAAAACCTAGCTTGATTTAAATTGATAACCAAATTAATTTTTAAAAAGATTAAATCCAGTCGTTAATTATCGGGTGATTATTGACTTGTTTGTGTTTGGAAAGAAAATACGCATGAGATAGCTACATCGAAGGGTAGTATCACTTTGAAATTCGACTCCGCTCCGACATAGTTGTGAAATCACTGGTGCACGTACGGCCGAGTGCTCCCATAAGTTTTTAAAGTGTGTGACTGAGTGCGATGCCCGAGTCAGGATAGGGGAAGGGGGGTGGGTTGGGGTCGTGGGGAAGATACATCTGTTGACCAAGCGTACATACATCCCAGAGTTTGGCAGACTGAGGCTGATGTATAATGCTGTATAAAACTGTAGGTGATTAGATTCACGCGGTTGTTCACGTGATCAAGGGAGAAAGATCAGCATATCTAAAAGACACTGATAAAATCTTGTTAATGTTTTTGTCCGTGTCCACAGGACCGCTCTGATTTGGAAGCGAATTCATGGTTTGTACCACATCATCTTTGAGATGTACAACGACGAATACTAAGGATACATTTATTTCCAGAGCGACCCTTCAAATTCAAAATTGACCGCGATTCAGAATGTATGCTTTAATAATTGACAATTATGTTATGCTATCCAAATCCTTCGTTAGTAGTTAGCGAATAATCTTTTTTGTGTTCAGAAACTTATAACCTATGGTGCATGCACACGTATACGGTGGCAACCGTGCTTCCTTTTGCAACCTGTTCTGTTTGGTCAGCTATTTTGTGATCATACGTCATGGCATTACCTTTACATGCGTGATATCCAACTCCACAAAAAAAATCATTGTTGGTTAAATATTATGACGATTCCTTTGGTGTTTGTCGTTTATCTCTTCAAAAGAATCATGACGAACTTTGCAATAAAGATGCAAGTCAAAGTAGACCGGGCGTGGTTATATTGGTACGACGTCACATTTGCAAAAACAAAGTAGAAGGGAGATGTTACTCGGGGTAATTTGGTCTCAAAAACGTACTCATGACTGACACCTCTCAACAAATTCCAAACGACTAAACTTATCATTTCTCAGTTAGGCCTATTGGATTAAAATGAAAACTATTAGGAATAGACTTTCTCTTTCTTTCTACCTACTGTATTGAATGTCCGGATGTTTGCACACGTTGTGAACGGTGATTAATTCAAAGCGGCTCATTAAAATACATGTAGTTACATAAGATACCTTTGACTCCTCGTATTATTTATTGTTTCTGTTGTTACTTCAATTCATAAAGGATAATCACGCCCTGTCCTGATTGTATCGACAGTGCCCTCTATTGTTGGACTACCCTCTGTCAATATACCTCCCTCTATCGATTACTACCCCAATGAATTTAAAGCAGCAGTATTACAACAGCAATAATTGGAACCATGACTCGGACCTCATGGCTGATTTTCAGGTCTAATATAGATATTTTAGTTCTAATTTTTACCCAAGGCATAACACTACCTTAAAATGAAACAGATTTGAAGTGCAATTTCCTCTTATCTTGCCATCAAAATGAAGTCTATTGCTGTGTTCATACTAAATTATTTAAGAAAAAGGATGGGCTTAATATAAGACTTTAATTCTTCTCCACTGATATGTGCTCTGGTGCCATTTTACCGTGAATTATTATATTCAGTACGACAAACCTATACTTTGCTTTTGTTTCTCAATTGAAACTACTGCGCTATAACATAGCTCCTTGGTGAGTGCACATCTACAGTCCTTAAATTGGTGGACAAAACTTGACGGCGTATAACGTGATATTTTGATGCAGCTAGGGGACGCCATGCTGTAAAAATCTACACTATACACAAAATGAACAGGAAAAGCCCCCTCCAGTCCATGACATGTGGATTATATATGCTTCCCAGGTAGCACACTGCCGCCAGCCCGCATTGACAATACTAGGGTTAAACTGGGGGGAGCACCGTGGGGTGCACAAACGGAGGGCACTTAAGGCAAGTGGTAAATGTTCACTTCAAGACTTTAAATGTAGGGGGGGGGCACCGGCCGCGGTCACGGGCATCTGTTGCTCATCCCCCCCCCCCCCCCCCCCCCGTTCTCCAATATAATATTTCTTATAGTAGCTCTGGAATGCCAAATAAGAATACTGCAGACAAGTCTGGTGCCCTGACTGTCACCAACTCCATCGGGCAATCTAGCTCATTGTGCCGTTCACTTGGGCTATAGGGAGGCAGCCTTCGGGAACATCAAGACACAAAACTCGATCTGTGAAACGGTGATTAATTCAAAGCGGCTTATTAAAATACGTGTAGTTACATGAGATACCTTTGACTCCTCGTATTTTATATTTGATTTAATTTTTCTGTTGTTACTTCAATTCATAAAGGATAATCACGCCCTGTCCTGATTGTATCGACAGTGCCCTCTATTGTTGGACTACCCTCTGTCAATATACCTCCCTCTATCGATTACTACCCCTATGAATTTAAAGCAGCAGTATCACAACAGCAATAATTGGAACCATGACTCGGACCTCATGCTATGGCTGATTTTCAGGTCTAATATAGATTTTTTGGTTCTAATTTTACCCAAGGCATAACACTACCTTAAAATGAAACAGATTTGAAGTGAAATTTCCTCTTATCTTGCCATCAAAATGAAGTCTATTGCTGTGTTCATACTAAATTATTTAAGAAAAAGGATGGGCTTAATATAAGACTTTAATTCTTCTCCACTGATATGTGCTCTGGTGCCATTTTACCGTGAATTACTATATTCAGTACCACAAACCTATACTTTGCTTTTGTTTCTCAATTGAAACTACTGTGCTATAACATAGCTCCTTGGTGAGTGCACATCTACAGTCCTTAAATTCGTGGACAAAACTTGACGGCGTATAACGTGATATTTTGATGCAGCTAGGGGACGCCATGCACAAAATGAACAGGAAAAAGCCCCCTCCCCTCCATGACATGTGGATTATATATATGATTCCCAGGTAGCACACTGCCGTCAGCCCGCATTGACTAACTAGGGTTAAACTGGGGGGAGCACCGTGGGGTGCACAAACGGTGGGCACTTAAGGCAAGTGGTAAATGTTCACTTCAAGACTTTAAATGTAGGGGGGGGCACCGGCCGCGGTCACGGGCATCTGTTGCTCACCCCGCCCCCCCTTCCCCCCCGTTCTCCAATATAATATTTCTTATAGTAGCTCTGGAATGCCAAATAAGAATACTGCAGACAAGTCTGGTGCCCTGACTGTCACCAACTCCATCGGGCAATCTAGCTCATTGTGCCGTTCACTTGGGCTATAGGGAGGCAGCCTTCGGGAACATCAAGACACAAAACTCGATCTGTGAAACGGTGATTAATTCAAAGCGGCTTATAAAAATACGTGTAGTTACATGAGATACCTTTTACTCCTCGTATTTTATATTTGATTTAATTTTTCTGTTGTTACTTCAATTCATAAAGGATAATCACGCCCTGTCCTGATTTTATCGACAGTGCCCTCTATTGTTGGACTACCCTCTGTCAATATACCTCCCTCTATCGATTACTACCCCTATGAATTTAAAGGAGCAGTATCACAACAGCAATAATTGGAACCATGACTCGGACCTCATGCTATGGCTGATTTTCAGGTCTAATATAGATTTTTTGGTTCTAATTTTACCCAAGGCATAACACTACCCTAAAATGAAACAGACTTGAAGTGAAATTTCCTCTTATCTTGCCATCAAAATGAAGTCTATTGCTGTGTTCATACTAAATTATTTAAGAAAAAGGATGGGCTTAATATAAGACTTTAATTCTTCTCCACTGATATGTGCTCTGGTGCCATTTTACCGTGAATTATTATATTCAGTACCACAAACCTATACTTTGCTTTTGTTTCTCAATTGAAACTACTGCGCTATAACATAGCTCCTTGGTGAGTGCACATCTACAGTCCTTAAATTCGTGGACAAAACTTGACGGCGTATAACGTGATATTTTGATGCAGCTAGGGGACGCCATGCACAAAATGAACAGGAAAAAGCCCCCTCCCCTCCATGACATGTGGATTATATATATGATTCCCTTGTAGCACACTGCCGTCAGCCCGCATTGACTAACTAGGGTTAAACTGGGGGGAGCACCGTGGGGTGCACAAACGGAGGGCACTTAAGGCAAGTGGTAAATGTTCACTTCAAGACTTTAAATGTAGGGGGGTACCCAGGGGCCGGGCATCTGTTGCTCACCCCCCACCCCCCCGTTCTCCAATATAATATTTCTTATAGTAGCTCTAGAATGCCAAATAAGAATACTGCAGACAAGTCTGATGCCCTGACTGTCACCAACTCCATCGGACAATCTAGCTCATTGTGCCGTTCACTTGGGCTATAGGGAGGCAGCCTTCGGGAACATCAAGACACAAAACTCGATCTGTGAAAGGACTTTCGATATATCATCTGGGCGTGTGATCGACTTGGCTAAGCCACTGCGCAAGTTTTTAAAAATTAATAGTTGACACGTGACAGGTTCAGTTTGATTTTGATTCCGTCAACAAATACGAAAACTGCAAAGACGTAAGGACAGAAATGGGCCAACTTTTTCATTCATTCATTAACTTTTAAGAAAGATGCATGGACTTTGTAAACACTGTCCATATAGTGTAATTTATGGATGCAAATTTCACTTGTCCTTGCGGACAAAACGCTGACTTGCTTATTTAAACTAAATATGTTTGTAGATACGGATTAACTTACCTGCCAGATGTGAACTTAATGGAGTAATTGTATACTTAATCATTGTTTAGTCTGTGAAGTGTTTGTTTTCGAAATATGTGGAATTCAACTCTTTCTGGCGGACACAGATGATGTATTTACCGCACGTCTGACCTTCTCTTGACGATTTACAGAAAATCAACTGAAAGTTCAAAACTCTGCTCAGTTAAAAAAATTCAAACAATGCTGTACATGCACTGATCTTATTAAGAGCACGCAAATTTATTTGGCAAACTTCTTCTCGCAAGAGTTTCGTTTTTGATTATGAGCGATTTAATACCATCCCAACGTTCAAATGGTATTGATAATCGCTCACGATTGTCAAAAACGAAACTCTTACGGAAAGAAGTTTGCCAAATAAATTGTGCATGCTCGTAAGATCAGTGTTCCATGTTCAATGCAGAAATCTTCAACGGATGACAAATGACTTACCCTAAATTGAACTCTTTTTTATAAAAGTATACAGTGGGCACTTAAGGCAAGTGGTAAATATTCACTTCAAGACTTTAAATGTGGGGGGGGGGGGGGGGGCACCGGCCGCGGTCACGGGCATCTGTTGCTCACCCCCCCCCCCCCCCCCCCCGTTCTCCAATATAATATTTCTTATAGTAGCTCTGGAATGCCAAATAAGAATACTGCAGACAAGTCTGGTGCCCTGACTGTCACCAACTCCATCGGGCAATCTAGCTCATTGTGCCGTTCACTTGGGCTATATGGAGGCAGCCTTCGGGAACATCAAGACACAAAACTCGATCTGTGAAACGGTGATTAATTCAAAGCGGCTTATTAAAATACGTGTAGTGACATGAGATACCTTTGACTCCTCGTATTTTATATTTGATTTAATTTTTCTGTTGTTACTTCAATTCATAAAGGATAATCACGCCCTGTCCTGATTGTATCGACAGTGCCCTCTATTGTTGGACTACCCTCTGTCAATATACCTCCCTCTATCGATTACTACCCCTATGAATTTAAAGCAGCAGTATCACAACAGCAATAATTGGAACCATGACTCGGACCTCATGCTATGGCTGATTTTCAGGTCTAATATAGATGTTTTGGTTCTAATTTTTACCCAAGGCATAACACTACCTTAAAATGAAACAGATTTGAAGTGAAATTTCCTCTTATCTTGCCATCAAAATGAAGTCTATTGCTGTGTTCATACTAAATTATTTAAGAAAAAGGATGGGCTTAATATAAGACATTAATTCTTCTCCACTGATATGTGCTCTGGTGCCGTTTTACCGTGAATTATTATATTCAGTACCACAAACCTATACTTTGCTTTTGTTTCTCAATTGAAACTACTGCGCTATAACATAGCTCCTTGGTGAGTGCACATCTACAGTACTTAAATTCGTGGACAAAACTTGACGGCGTATAACGTGATATTTTGATGCAGCTAGGGGACGCCATGCACAAAATGAACAGGAAAAAGCCCCCTCCCCTCCA